ACCCCAGACCAAAGGCACTATATGAGCACAAAAATCTGGCCCACAGTGGACCCAAGCAGCTTAAAGATTTTGCGTTATCAGCATTTGACAAAAAAGTATTGAAGGAGATGGGGGTCTAGGTTTATCAATTTCTCTGGTTAAGGAAGTGAAAGTAGAAAACAAGGTGAGAAAGCTCAGAGATTTAGTGGTAGAAATGGTCAGAATTTCTCTGTTCCCTGCCTTGGAGACTATGTATGATAGCCATCACTGGATGACATCATCTCTATGAAAACTGTTACAGGAATGGCGTGCCCACAGAATATCTTACAGAAGTAAAATTTTGTGCAAAAGAAGCAGACAGTATCTTCCAGATGGCCATGAATTACATTTGACTTTTCATTGCAGTTAAATATTTGCCCAGATAATTTATTTTCTCTAAGGAAACTCTGATAGCTCAGAGTTTACTAAAATTTTAAGACCCCACAGCTGAGTCAAGAGAGGAAATTTTACAGAGCAGTAGAAACATATTCAAGCAGTTAGTAGTGTGGGAGAAAACTTGTTGAATAAGAAGTTAGGACACTGGGAGGATTCCCTCTTTTCATTCTGTTCAGCTGTTCATTGTTCACCTGATGCACCACCATTACTACTTCCCCAGCAATGCTACTTCTACTTGTTCAATATACCATTAAAGCCAGCTGCAGTACTTTCACAGATCTGACCATTGTATGCATTTTACAAAGTGTCCAGTAAAAATAAACACAAAGCAAGTCTACAGTCCTTCTGCTGTCATAGGTTCTGATGAAACCAGAATCAGCTTTAATACCTTTATGAAAGGCAACCAGCAGGCTCAATAACTTATAACCAAGTAAAATGAAAACAATTTTTTCCACAAAGTAACAGCGTCACTTCTAAATTAGAAAGTATATTTTCCACCAAGTAACACAGTTTTTCTTCTAATAATACTTTCTTTTCCTGAAAAAGAAAAAAAAAGGGGGGGGAGGGTAAGCTTGAGAACAAATTGTACCTTCTTTTAATTCATGAATTCTTGTCAAATACTGGGGTATCCTTGTAGACTCCTCTGTCTTTCATGTACCCAAATCTTGAAAGATAATCTGGAATGGGATGTTCACTTATACAAAGCCTCAGCACCTTCCACCTTGGAGACTGGGGTGTTACACAGTGTATCTGGAGCATTCTAGAATAATCTATTTTACCATTTCTATGTGAAAAATCCCATGACACACCTCAAAAGGCGCAGCTCTTCCCTTTTCCTTTTAAAAGCTTTCTCATGTGTACAGCCTCCTTGGCTCATATGAAAGTTAAAAGCACTACTTGACGTTTCTCATAAAGCCTTCTCAAAAAATCAATGCAGCTTCGGTCTTATCATAGCCTGAACACACTGGCCTGTTCTGATGAAGAGAACAAGGTCTATAGCAAACTATGAAGCGAAGAGCACTGAAAAGACTCCTACTGCTCTACTGACCATAACACGTTTAAAAAAATCCCAAACCAAATCAAAACCCCCAAAACCACAAACCAAAACCAAAAAGCAAACTGACAACAACAAAACCTCAATAGCCACAAAACTCTGACACCACTAAACTCTCATCTTGCACACATTCACTTGCACAACACAGTCCCTGAGGAGATGCTAGCTCAATAGCTAGCTCAATACTGACCTTAGGGCATGGCACAGAACCAAAAAAAAAACCAAACACTCTGCCTCCTGGCCAGGCTAATTACACCAGGTTTAGTGCTATGCTGACATGATTATACTGCCTCCAGACTTGGTGATAGGTCTGCCAAATCTAACTCTTTATTTCTGCTTCTTTCTTGTGCAAGAGATACCCAGTGTCTGCCAGCATACACTCAGTACTGCCAGTTTGATTTTACTTCTGGTGAAATATTACATTGTTCAATCAAGTGAGTGCAAATTAAAGTGGGTGTCCAAGCACAGTTCACAAGCTAGCTCAAGTATACATCTTCTAAACAGAAATAAATAACTTTTGACCAAAATGCAAGGGGAAACACCTACTGGATAATTAAGGAAGAACAGTCACAGCCCCCTCACATTTCCCTTTCCCATCCCATGTACTTTTCAGCAGAGGCCCCCATAACATGCACAGCTCATAAAGGATATGGAAGTGAGTTTCTTCCCCTTTATCCACAGTGCAGCTCTGGGTGACTTACTGCACTTAATACTGAAGTCAAGAAACACCCTTCTGAATCCCAAACAGAATAAAGATCTGAAGGCAGCATAGCCCCCAGCTACTGCTGAACACAAACACCTTAAGTGTAGAGCAGAATATTATGCTCTCTCTCAGCTGCATGTTGATAGAAAGGTTTGACTGCTGGTTCTGCCCTGACTGCGTACCCACCACTTCACAACCGCTTCTTCCATCAGGTCCAGTTTTAAGGCTTGTACAATGGATAGGAATGACTGTTCATAGCTTTACCACTAACTTGACAGTCACTTCTATACTTTCATACATGTATTTACCTCACTGATCAACTCAACTATATAAGCTCTCTGGGGATGAGAGGCTCTCCACCACATACAGACACAGTCTAATCTGCAGCATTCCTCATCCCCACAGATAATTTAGGGAAATTCCAAGCACAGCTCAAGGTACAGCTTGGGAAAGGCACTCCACAGAAAGGTGGGGAATCTTGTGATCTTCAGGATCGGCAATGAAGGTTGAGTTCCTGGAATTCAGTTTATATGAGAACCTGAGTTTTTCCCAAAAAGCAAATAGCTAATCTGTCTAACTGCAGAGAAAAGCTTGAAGACACATAAAGCTTGAAACATCAATTAATGTTCTGATGTGGGATGACTTTGCAACTGGTTAGTATTGCAGGTCTTTTGATGCTGTAAAAGCAGAGAAAAAAAAGCAGTGTTTGATGAAACACTGTGAAGCTCTGACTGGACGTGTATCAGAAAAAACAAATGCCTCAAGAAATGCAACATAAGGCTGCAGGCATCCTCACTGTGTCCCTTACAGGTCATACTACACCAAAGCACAGAAGTTTGTCTGGGAGCATTGTCTCGCAGGCACAGTTTGTAACAGATGAGTACTATGTACTAGGGCTACCAAAAGGTAAAGATAGTGAGACTGGGCATTAGCTGCATGAAGAAGTAACAGCCTTTTTTTTTGAAAAAATGTGTTTCTCCTGTACTCCATAATCAATTGTGGTGATGTGTGTTTATTTAGTTGTTCTTGGTATTTGGATTGGTTTGTAGTTTGGGGTTTTGGGGGGCTTTGCGGTTTTTGCTGTTGTTGTGGGGTGGGAGTTTGGTTTGGCTTGGGGTTTTGTGTTGTTTGTTTGTTAGGGGATTTTTTTTAACAGAGATGGTAATTTATAGTCCAAGAAACAATTACAGGTGTGAAAAATGTTGCCTGTATCTTTACTACCTGCTCTGCTTTTCAGTACTCCTGTGAAAAAAACTCTTGATTATTCAGTGAGCTAAAGTTCATGATTTATTACCCATGTTTGGCACTTCCTTGATCCACCCTCAGACCGAGAGCTTTAGCTCATTTCTAGAGACAGCAGGTGCCAGTAGTTAGACTTTCAGAGATATTTCAGCCATGACAGCCCAGCCACATTTAGTCTGGTAGTTAACAGAGGTTCATTCTTCTGAGTTCATTCAGCAAACTGATAAAAACCACCCTGAATTTTCAGAAATACTTAGTTCATAAATTTCACTGAAGCATGCTTTAAGCTGCTGAAAAAACTTTCATTTCCCAGTGTAAAAGAAGGTGCTTTTCCCCCCTTTAGAAATATAAGAGACTATTATACCTTCTATTGCCCTATGGTCATGTTTTTAAAGCACAGAAAATCAAGAAAACATGATTTTTCTGAAAATTAATTCTGTCTCAATCAACTTTGCTTTTGAAGGAGTCGTGGTTTTGGAACAAAAGAGACTTTTGACATAAATCCTGTTGAACAATAGGCAGTGCTCTCTTATATCCATTCTTCTGTGCCAAAGAAACTGAGAATTATTCTTGGAAAGGACAATGAAGTGTTAAAAATATGTACCATTTCCTGAGAAAAAGTGTAGAATTTCTTTAGAGAATAAAGTATAATTGCCAGGCATTGATAAATTGTGTAAGAAACACTATTGATGATTCATACCAGTAGAACTTGCTGCTAAATAAACTCTGACCTTGATACTCAGGAGACCCACTTAGAACATCCTGCAAGACAATGATATATTTCTCCACACTAACCTTTGTGAGTAGTCTACCTCTTCAGCTCCTTGAAACAAGCTAGTTCCAATTAAAGAGGAGTAGTGGAACTATTTCATACATTTGTTTTAGTGACAGGATAAGCAGGGGTTATGATGTCATAGTGCCAAGAATATCAGGCAGAAAAAGCTAGGTATGGGCTTTCTTCAGATTTCAGATACTTCTTACTGCAACACCATAGAAAATCCTTCCTTCTTTATGAAAAAGGATGAGCTGTTAAAGGGAGGGAGAGGAAGAGAAAATGGCATAGAAACTAAAGCTTAGATCTGAAGGGAGGCAGTTTTCATCCCCATTTCTGATCAGTGTTCACTGTGCAGAAACAAGCATGTTATTTCACTTTCCCACAGTTCAGCTTCTCAAGTTCAATGCGGAGAGAATAATAGAAGCTTTCTCCAGCTTCTAGCTTGTCAGGTCTTACCTTCTGCATGGGGCACTGACACACAACGCAATTAGGGTTTATCCTGCCAAAGGGGTAATGCCCAGTAGAGGAGCAGTCAACAGAGAAGACCACCATGAGACAGCAGTGTCTTCATGGACAGCTATCTCAGTGAAAGAACTGAAGTCCCTCCAGCTAAAGGCAAGGCAGACACTGAGGAAAGTGAGAATAGAAAAAAAAAAAAACCACAAACCAGGGGGTTTTGATATTAAACTTCTCCATCTCAGCCTCTGAAGTAGAATGAATTAAAAATTTTCAGGAGAATCTGCAGCAAAAGACTTCACACTGCTCCTCACTTTGCCATGCTATGCTGTTCTAGTGGTATTCTCTCCCAGACAATGTTGAAGGTTCATGTCCAAACAGCAGGCAGCAGTACAACGTCTGTCGGCCTGATCCGATCTCAAGGGAGGTGTGTTGCTTAGCAGGGGCATGGATAGGGGATATTGCAGAGAGACTACCTCCTCTAGTAAGTCCCATGGACTATTACCCGCCTCTAGTGATACATGTGGGTGCTAGGGATATAGATAGTAGTAGCCTGGGGAACATAAAGAAGGACTACAGAGCCCTGGGAGAGGTGGTTAAAGGCTCTGGAGCTCAGATGGTCTTTTTGTCAATTCTCCAGGATATAGGGGAGGACCTAAAAAAAGCTAATAAGGTTAATAAATGGTTAAAAGGGTGGTGTCACAGTCAGGGGTTTGCATGTCTTGAACATGGGACCCAAGTTTGTAGGCCAGGTCTACGGGGGGCTGGTGGAGCTGGTCTTTGTAGGAGGCTTGACAGACTGGTCAAGTAGGCTTTAAACTAGATGTGTTGGGGGAGGGGGACATCATTCCATCCCAACACACCCAGTCAGTTGCCAGCACCTATAATAAATGCTCAGAGCAATGTAGAGATATTCCAGCTGCTCCAGCCAATGAGCCAGCTTCTTTTGGAGTTCGGCTCAGATGCCTCTCTACAAATGCCCATAGCATGGGGAACAAACAAGAGGAATTAGAGATGTGTGCACATCTACAGGGGTATGGTATAATAGGCATCGCAAAAACATGGGGGGATGGTTCGTATGACTGGAGTGTTGGAATGAAACGTTACAGGCTTTTTAGAAAAGACAGGCCAGGCAGGCAGTGAGGGGGAGTTGCCCTTTACGTTAGGGATAGGCTGGAGAGTACGGAAGTCTGTCTGGAGACAAGTGATCAGTTACCAGAGAGTTTGCAGGTCAGGATTAAAGGGAAAACAGCTAAGGGAGACATTACTGGGGGGATCTGTTACAGACCGCCTGATCAAGATGAATCTGCCAATGAAGCACTCTATAGACAGATAGGAAAAGCCTCATCCTCACAGGCCCTTGCTCTCATGGGTGACTTCAACCACCCTGACATCTGTTGGAGTGACGGTACGGCCTGGCACAAGCAATCCAGGAGGATCCTTGATTGTGTGGAAGACAACTTCCTTCTGCAAGTAATACAGCAGCCCGCAAGGAGACGTGCCATGCTTGACTTCGTGCTCACCAACAGGGAAGGGCTCGTTGGAAATGTGCCGCTCGAGGGCAGCCTCGGATGCAGCGATCACGAGATGGTCAAATTTGAGATCATCAGGACAGTGAGAAGAGCGTGCAGCAAGCTCAATGCCCTGGACTTCAGGAGAGCAGAATTGGCCTCTTCAGGAACCTGCTTAGGAAGATTCCATGGGATATAGCCCTAGAGGGCAGGGGAGCCCAAGACTCTTGGTTGACCTTCAAGGATCACCTGCTACAAGCTCAGGAGTGTTGCATCCCAACCAGAAGGAAGTGCAGCGCTGCTGAGGAAAATTAGAAGGAAAAAAGAGGCTTATAAAAGGTGGAAGAAAGGACAGGCATCCTGGGAAGAATACAGTGATGTTGTCTGGGAAGCTAGGGACCAGATTAGGAAAGCTAAGGCCCAGCTAGAATTAAACATGGCTAGGGATGTTAAAGATAACAGGAAGGGACCAATTGGTGACCTTCTATGATGGGGCTACAGAACTGATGGACAGGGGTAGAGCAGTTGGTGTCATCTACCTGGATTTGTGTAAAACGTTTGACACTGTACCACACGACACCCTTGTCTCTAAATTGGAGAGACATCAATTTGATAGGTGGACTACTCTGTGGATAAAGAACTGGCTGGCTGGCTGCACACAAAGAGTTGTGGACAATGGATCAACTTCCTGCTGGAGACCAGTAACAAGTGGTGTCCCTCAGGGATCGTTGCTGGGACTGGTCTTGTTCGACATCTTCGTCGCTGACATGGACAGTGGGATTGAGTGCGCCCTCAGCAAGTTTGCCGATAACACCAAGCTGTGTGGTTCGGTTGATACGCTGGAGGGAAGGAATGCCATCCAGAGGGACCTTGACATGCTTGTGAGGTGGGCTGATGCCAACCTTATGAAGTTTAACCATGCCAAGTGCAAGGTCCTACACCTGGGTCGGAGCAATCCCAGACACAGCTACAGGCTGGGCAGAGAAGAGATTCAGAGCAGCCCTGCTGAGAAGGACTTGGGGGTGTTGGTGGATGAGAAGATGAACATGAGCCGTCTTCAGTGTTCCCTCGCAGCCCAGAAAGCCAACGGTATCCTGGGCTGCATCAAAAGGAGTGTGACCAGCAGGTTGAAGTAGGTGATCCTGCCCCTCTACTCTGCTCTTGTGAGACCTCACCTGGAGTATTGTGTGCAGTTCTGGTGTCCTCAACATAAAAAGGACATGGATCTGTTGGAACAAGTCCAGAGGAGGGCCACGAGGATGATCAGGGGACTGGAGCACCTCCCATATGAAGATAGGCTGAGAAAGTTGGGGCTGTTCAGCCTGAAGAAGAGAAGGCTGCGTGGAGACCTCATAGCAGCCTTCCAGTATCTGAAGGGGGCCTATAGGGATGCTGGAGAGGAACTCTTCATTAGGAACTGTAGTGACAGGACAAGGGTAACAGGTTCAAAATTAAACAGGGGAAGTTTAGACTGGATCTAAGAAAGAAGTTCTTTACTGTGAGGGAGGTGAGGCACTGGAATGGGTTGCCCAGGAAAGCTGTGAACGCTCCCTCCCTGGCGGTGTTCAAGGCCAGATTGGACAGAGCCTTGGGTGGCATGGGTTAGTAAAAGGTGTCCCTGCCCATGGCACGGGGGTTGGAACTTGATGATCTTAAGGTCCGTTCCAACCCTAACTGTTCTATGATTCTATAAAATGTGTCTCTGTTGTCCCAGGGGGTCACGTAACGATTGCCCAATGTCCCCCATGAAGCTGCAGCCCCTTCAGGGCTCGTCCCCATCCTCCGCTCGCAGCAGTTCTTGAATTCTGGGGTGATGTCACAACCCGCGTTACAGCGCCGACCACCTGCGCCCAGGCACCAGCACAGACCTCACCCCTGACCCCACACTTTTCCCCTGCTCCCACCTGCATGCTCCAGTCCCTTCTGCCCTGTTCCTGTTCTCCCCTACTGCCCTGCTTCCATCCCTTTCCACTTGTTCCCATTCCTACTGCCCTGTTCCCTGCCCCTTGGGCACTGTGTCGGAGCCAGCAAAGGCAGCCCCACAAGAAATCCACCCTTGTCCTGCTGGTGGCCAAGCTCAGCCCTTGCGGAGCCGAGGACGCAAAGGACTGCTTTTGCAGAGTAAGGAGCCGGTGGGTGCCAAGGCAGGCGTGGGGCCGGGTCTGTGCCCAGACCCTACAGGCAGGGAGCACGGCCGCTCACCCCTGCCCTCTCTGCTCTGGCAGGTCCTGAAGCCGCTACCGCCCCGCAAGGCGCTGAAACGAAGAAGGCAGAGGATCCTCCGGCTGCATGAGCCAGCCTGTCAGAGCTGGTGGGTGCTGCTGGACAAGGAGCCCCCGGCCTCCTGCCAGCTCCTGCTGGGGATGTGCCCAGGGCCCCAGGGCCCCACGGCTCTGCCCGGGCAGCGAGAGGGGACCGGGGTGCCCAGAGCCCTGTCCCACAGTTGCGCTCCGCTGCTCTGGGCAGCACCAACGCACTCTTCTGCTTGGTTTTGCCTTAGGCTATTCCAACACATGTGGGAGCTGGAGGAAGAAGCCACCAGCAGGACCCAAGTGGGGCTGCAGGATGAACCTATGGAGGTGGATGTGGTGGTGGAGGAGGATGAAGCAATGGATACCAACTGATGAGTGGTAAGACAGCACGTGCCCCCCATCCACTGCTGGCAGTCAGGGTGAGTCGGCTGCTGCCATGCTGGCCCTGGGGCTGTGTGCAATGGCCCCGCTGCTGGGACACGGTGCCCGGTGGCCTCATCCTGGTGGCACAAGCACCACCACCACGCTGCCCTGCGCTGCCTTTGGGACACGCGAGCCGAGTCTGATCGCATAGAGCCCGGCTCCCAGCCCCAGCCAGGGCTGAGCCCCGCGGCAGAGTCCCCCTCTCCCCAGCGTGTGGCAAACACAATGACCATCAGTAGCCTCACTGAAATGACCTTGTGCTCCTTGTTTCCAGGGCTGGTGGAGAGTTAAGTTTTAACAGCGTTTGAAGGTTTGTTTAGAAGAGTTCCAGTTTTCATTGAAGAGTTTTGGTTTTTAAGAAGATTGTTTTTCGTTAGGAGTTGTAGGTTTAGGTAGAATAGGTTTAGTTTTAGGAATAAGTGTTGTTCTTTTAGGTAGAATAGTTGTAGTTTTAGGTAGAAGAGTTGTATTTTTTGAGAAGAACAGTTGTTTTTTGTTGTTTATTTTATTTATTTTTTCTTGTTTTGTAAATACATTTCTTGACATTCTTCTCACCCGGTCTCTCGTTGTATTCGCTGCGATCATACGTGGCTTTGGCAGACAAGTGGTTTCCACTTGCTCTGAGCTCCCAGGGCTGGAGGGGCCATGGGGGCTGGTGCTGGGTGCTGGGGCACCCCAACTGTCCCCACGTGGGCTCCCTGCCCTGGCAGAGCGGCTCTTTCAGGCTCTCTGCAGCTGTGGGCAGGGCTGGGCACGGGCGAGGGACCAAAGGTCTGGGTGCTCACCCCAAACCCTCGGTGGCTGCAGGGCACCTGGTCTGGTGCTGCCATCGGGCACAACCTGTGCCAGCTCTGAGCAAAGCTTCTCAGGCTGCTCCTCAAGCTGGGGGAAACACGGCCACGTATAAGGAATCAGTCAGGGGAAGTTTAGATTGGATATAAGGAGGAAATTCTTTCCTGTAAGGGTGGTGAGGCACTGGAATGGGTTGCCCAGGGAGGTTGTGAATGCTCCATCCCTGGCACTGTTCAAGACCATGTTGGACGAGGACTTGGGTGGTATGGTTTAGTGTGAGGTGTCCCTGCCCATGGCAGGGGGGTTGGAAGTTGATGATCTTAAGGTCCTTTCCAACCCTAACTATTCTATGATTCTGTGATTCTAACTAAAAGTCATTACCCTGTGAATCTAGGGACTGAGGATTTAACAATATAATTGACTTTTCCATGTCTTTTGCTTGTAAACACTATTCACCATGGAACGCATATCTTGATAGTGCCTGAGAAGCCCACTAAACTTTTCACAGAGCACTTGACAGCACCAAAGCAAACCAACAGCCTTCCCAACATTCTTTGCATAGACCTTCGTTACAAAACACCAAAACCCACAACACTGACAACACTCCTAAGAAAACAGCAGGAAGAGTGCAGAGTGGCACCTATATCCTGTGTCACTTTTCTTTCGCAATTAGAAAAATCTCATTAGATGAATTTAACATGCTCTGTGCCCTCTGTGTTTCAGCAAGTATCACGTAAGAGAGACAAACCTTGCAATGGGGAAAAAAGTGAAGACTTTAGAGGCAGTTCTTAATCCCTGGACCTGTGTATCAGGGAGACAGGTGGAAGAATTGACTTTGCACACTCAGAGGTAAACTCCATCTCTGAAGAACAGAAACTCCGTCCTTTCAGTAAGAAGCTCCTGAGGAGCCAAGCTGTTAAACATTACCTTTATCCTAGAGCTTCACGCAGTCTAGGCTCAGGATGCAAAGAGCAGCCAGGATGTACTTGCTGAGTTTTGAGAAGGAAGCCCACAGAGCAAGTAGAGGACAGATGCAATATGCTCATGGAAATGAACAGCCATGACTCAGTTTGCTCAAGGCGCTGAAACACAGAGGAGGGGCAGAAATAAGAGAAGTGACAGTGATGGAAGCAGGTGGGATGTAGGGGGTGCTTCATAAAATAGCCTGAAATAGACAATGTGTTTGAAAACAAAGTGAAAAGACAGCGACTGATCCAGAGAAGTAGTGAAGAGATGCAGGAAACAGCATGCCTGATGAGTACAGGGAACAAGTTGAGTCAAGGGATTTGCTTCCATCCTGGTATATGTTGAAAGAAGTATCAAAACATTTAGTTTTTTCTATGAGGGGAAACTAATCTCCAGTCACATCCAAAAGGAAAAGCAAGCCTGGTGAGAAGTCAGTTTTGAACTTTCTCATTGCGCAAGTCAGTTTGCTTCAGGCTCACTTCTTTGATTTTAAAGTCTGACTGGCATCCAGCTATGCCTATGATGATCAAATAAGGACAGAAATCAAACAATAAATGAAAGAAAATTCCCATGTGTCATGGCATTTCCTTTATGAGGACTTCTTGCCATATTCTCAATGTACAGCAAGACATTTCTGGTTCTTGCCTCAGTTGCAGTCAAACAGGAAAAGCTCAGCTCTGGGAAGGAGTGGTGACATTAGCTGACAATTGTTCTCCAGTTACCTTCCTGTTTATTTTTAAGATCAGTCCTGCTTGTAATTGAAAACAAACATCTATTTCTAGTATTTGGGATGGATTCCACACAAAGTCTATTTGTTGAAGTGAAGCAAGTTAAACTATTCAGTGATGAAAAAGACTAAAAAACATTGCTTGTATTACATAAAGGAATGCAATATATGTAAACAATAATGAGCAGTAAATTAAACTTTCTTCCTGGCTCCAACCTTAATTCCATAGAAAAAATAACTTCAGCTGGTTGAAGGAAGAAGATCTCTCTTCTGCACCTTACAAGTTTTGTGCTTGTTAAAGGTACCACAAGAAGTTTCATTATTAGATTATGTTGGTAGATGAAATTTCAACTGCTAGTTTCTATAGTAGAGGAATGGTCCCACTGACCACTTTGAATTCAAAGGCTTTTATTATAGATGCTTTATGTAAGTCTGTTCTCTCCTAATTTCCAGGTCTGCTGCTGCCATTCTCAGAACATTCAAATTAATCCACCTGATTTGTCACTAGCCTTTCTCAGAGAAGACGAGACTTTTACACACTGCTGATTGTTTACAGGCTGTTGCAGCAGGTTTCCAGAGTGACTTGTATGTCTTTAAAAGAAAACCCACACTTGAGGAGGAGTACATATAATGCTCAGAAACCTACTAGTAAGTACTGGCTTTTGGGTGATTTTCCACACACTTAAAAAAGTTGTGCATTTTCTGTTTAGCAGAATCTTCAGATCTTACAAGCTATGGGTTTTGTCTCCATATGGATTAAAGGGGACAGACTTCCTTATGTTTGAAATCTAGAACTAGTCAGAGACCAAACACATCTCCAGCTCCCAGCAAGACATGTCTCATTATGGTCCATCCCTGGCAAAGTTCAAGTCTAGGTTGGACAGGGCCTTGAGCAACTTGGTCTAGCGGTTGGGGGTCAGAACTTATGATGATCTTAAGGTCCTTTTCAACCCTAACCATTCTAAGACTCTATGAAACTCCATGTTCAGTTTAAGATGCAATGTTATAAGGTACCCTTTTTTGTACAAGACATAAATTATATTTCTATTTTCATAATACCATGCTACTTCCAATATGTATCATCTTATATAATTTGGTCCATGGAATTTAATAGTTCTTCCCACTTTGGAAAAGACACAGTGAAATCAGAAAGTGAACTAATTTTAAATTAAAAATATAATGGCAAATGTTTTATATGCAGCCCAAACAATTTAATAGGAAAATTAAGAAGAAAGAAGAAACTTGCTATTACAAAAGTAAGGGTATGTACAAAGAAAAAGGGAAAAAAAAAAACCCCAAACCATTGGGAAAGTGAAAACTGAATTACTGTTGTCACTTTGCAGAAAAATCTATATTACAACCAGACCCGATGAGAAAATAGAAGCCCTTTTCAAACAAAATGCTAATTTTAAAGTATTTTAGGAAAAAAAATCCTATGAGAAAAAATGGGGAATTAGTCGGGTGTCAGGCTCCAAGCTGGCTGTCTCACAATACAGTACTAAAAGCAACCAGCTGCCTATGTCCTTTCTGCAGGTGTTCATGTAGCAGCTTTCATTTGATAAGTTAGCTCTTCTCCCAGGTAAGGGAGTATGGAGATGAGATTTGTGCTCCAGTACAGATTTCCAGCAACAATGAGATTTTGTAGGTAAGAAGTTTCCTATGGGAAAATCATTCTCTGAGAAAACATCTAGAGTATGCCTAGTCAGCACGGGAGAAAGGTTGAAAATGCACATCTTTGAGAATTTCATCTACATTGGAGGTGGACTTTCAAAACCATAAGCCTGACCTGTATTAAAATCAACATGTCTCACCAATTGCATCACCTTGGTACGGTGATGAAAATATATACAACCACACATACACAAACATATTTCGAAGTAAATAAAAGCTAAAATAACAGTACAATTTGTTCTAAACTTTAGCCCTAACTCTATCTCCAAATTAAAGAGCTCTTCAGGTCAGAAACTTTGAGACATGGGCTACATGCATTTTTTTCAGAAAGGTGCTGCAGACCAACACTAGCTATATCCAGACCACCTGGTTCCTAAGTCTGCACTGCATTTGGCTAAGGTACAAGTATCTTAACAGCAACTTTAACACATATCCACAGTACTCTACTCACCTCAGTTGCCTAGTGTAAGAAATGAGTATTAAATAAAAGCTGAATACATTCATACAATACAAAGTGCGTAAAAGAGAACTGTTCAAATGTCAAAAAGTGAAGCTGAAACCATCTTTCAGGGCACATCTCTGTGTTCACGTAAAGCAAGCAAGTTTGCTTAGCACAAACCCAGCAGGCTGCAGAGCTATCGGTAAGATATAAAGAAACTACTACTTCAACAAAAACATAATTACAGTACCCTGCCCAAAAGGATCTGCACAAAGCAACAGATCTGAGAGCCATTGTGATACCATGGAAATATTTTAAAGGCAAGATTTTTCCCATATTAATCTATCACTTCAC